CAGTCTGTGAAGAAGGCATTCAAGTAAGAATTACATTGTAGTATGACTCATTTCCTGGCGTGTACAACTGGTTTGTTCGACTTTCAAGAAATTCGAGTTCTAGTGAGCTCGAGAACCGAGGTACCAATGTAGTCCACTTAGTCCCAGTATTCATTTAGGGTCTTTTTTTAAACATGACAAGATATGGAAAAAATTAAATACTGTATGTAGTAATTCTTTTTTTTCTCAATTTATTTGATTGCCATACTTTGGCTTACAGTAACCTGTCTGCTTCTGGCTAGCTACCTGAGGCTAATGCTGTGTGCACAGAACACATGATGGGAAAAGGAAAGTCATTTTCTCTCAGTAACAAATATAGACTCGTAAAAGTTTATGATAAACCGCCAAAAATTAGCCACCTAGATTCAGCAGTGAAACTTCAATAAGCGCTTTGATACAGTGTAACGTTATGAAAATGCGCTGTATAAATAAAATTGAATTTAATATTATGTACAGTACTGTACTGTATTATAGCGTACTTGAATTATACACAGTTCAGTAATTTAATTTGTACAATACTTCAATTTGAAAAGCATTTGAAACAGCTGTACTGTATTATCGTCAATAAAATTACATAAATAGTGATGCTGTCTGTTTTATTGTCTTATTCATGTAATAAATATACAAATGTCAATTACATAGTAATTGTAGTCATAAAGAAGAAGAACAAAATAGGTTATTATAATCATCCGCGTATAGTGATCAATTTCACTGATCACTATAAGCGGTTTCCAGTATTTCAGTTTTGTATACTTATGCAGTTTGTGTTTACAAAAAAGCTTTATACACTTGTCTTTTCAAAGTCACAGGTTTGCAACTTCACATTTGCACATACTGTATTTTCAGAAACCACCTTACAACTATGAATCGGGATTACAAGTGCACGAACTCAATGCGCTCAGAATGCTGAGAATTTCTGGCAGCTTTGTCATGCACCCAAAGTTTTGTAAACCCATAACTGCCAGACATGGAGCAGCAAGTGGGTGGCATCTGTGCACCTCAGACCATGACAGTCAGTCAAAAAGAGTTTGATTTTGTCTGGGATATTATTGACTGGATTTGCCTGACTATCAATATGCTACTCTATAGACACACCTTCAGGACAGGAATAAATCTAAATGCAGGGTTTCCTTCCCTGTTTGTGCAATCCAAATTTGTAGTTGTAACGTGGCTTCTGAAAATTTGTGTAAATGTTTGCAAATCTGTAACTTTGAAAACATAAATGTGCAAAACATTTTTGTAAACACAAACTTTGCTCCATGGATGTACAAAACTAAATTGCAAGTGTGCAAATCTATTTTAAACAACCACAGAATTCTGTCATAATAATCACTCCATAAATATTAGGGTCTTTCTGTAAACAGTCTCTGACCATGAAATCAGTAGGTAATTCACTTTTAGCTTAGAAGTGGAATTAATATTTTTCGCACCGCAAATGTATCCTTTTCCTTGGGTTTCATGTGTTTGTTGTTCATAAACGTACACACAGTCGCCTTGGGTCACTTCTGTTTGGTAAGCATGACTAGCATGCAAGGAGCATGACATTTGCTGAGAATGACTGTCACACAAGGAGGATGACATGAATTTGGAAAAATTGTTTTAAACCCTGGGTCAGACGTGCTGTAAAATCCATTACCTAAATTGCAGTCTTTGCGATTTCCTTATCACGTTGTTTCAAATCGTGATTTTGATTTGAAATCGATAAATTGTTCAGCCCTACTTCTGGGTGTTTTCCGGTTTTCCCTGGGTGCTCAGCTTTCCTCCAATAATCCAAAAGCATTTTGTTGAAAGGAAGTTTAGTGGCTCTAGGTGACTGAGGGGTTTGTTATCCGCAAAGTGGGTCAGCATGTTATCACTGCACGTGAAGTTGGATGAGGGACCACTCAAAAGAGATGCAGTACTGAGAGTACATGTAAATAGATTTACTTCATTAGCTTAACAATGTTAACATAAATATGGTCTTAGGTTACCAAAATGTATCATAATGTAAAGGTCCATTTAGACTGAAAAAAACTGCTGCAAAAAGATACTTTTTAATAATAATAATAATTTTTAATAATCCAAAATCCAATTAACCTACTCCTATCATATCTTAGCTAATACAATACAAACAAGATACAGCTGCCTAACATATTAATCTGTGTATGGTCCTATTTGATAATGCCTGGGCAACTCTTCTCTATTAGAGGCCCAGATACAAGATTCACCATGTCAGCAAGGCCATTTTTAAACAATTATTTTCATGTCCCCTGACAGCTACAACAGGAGACATCTTTTGGTAGACCAGTGGTTCCCAACCTTTTTTGGCCTGTGACCCCATTTTGACGTCACAAATTTCTGGCGACCCCATAGACATTTTTCTTCTAGAATTAGTTTTTGATCATATGTTTGTTACACCATGCTGTAAATATACAGTAGCCAGATCAGTGCACAGTCACATTTTATTTTCCATGATCACATGTACAGTTAGGCGAGCTTGTCTTTACAAGGCTGAAGGTGATCGCGATAATTTTATTTGAACTAATTTATATTTATTAGGGATGGGCCGATCCACAATTTTTCAGTTCCGATCCGATTCTGATACACAACTGCTGATACTGATACATATTCCGATACAGAAGCTCTTTTTACTTTGTTATACTTTATATATTATTATTTTAAGCTAGTAAATATAGATGGAAAAGATATATGACAAAAAATATTTAATTAGGCTACTACAAACATACATAACGTAGGCTACTGTTCCACCTCGTTTGAACGTCTTGTTTTAAAGCGTTTTTGAGGCATTTGCGAATGCTTAAAATTTTAACTAGACAATTTTTCTCCCATTTGCGTCAGCTCAGTTACACTTTGTTGCGATGGCAGCCCCTCTTGTATCACAAACTGCAGCGAGTTCGCAAGACAGTCCAGGTTAGCGACTCTCAAATCCATTGCTTTTTTTTGTCTCGCAGTTGCGTGCGCTTTGTTAAGTGGGATTGTCCATTAAATGCTATTCCCACCTCTCAAAACTTTATTTTTTACAAAGATTGCAAATCGCTGTGCTACTGGTTTTTGTTAAAAGCGTAAAATATTCCCAGATCATCGGGTATGCGCATGACGTCACAGCAGACGGAAGTCACTGTGCTCACACCCACTGAGTAGCAAAAAAGACTGAGGGGCAGCGTTTCAGACCCGTTCAATTTGAATGTTCCAAAAAACACATGTAAAATGGGAAAGTGCTGTCGTGCAATTGATTGTACAAATATATTTAAAACGAAGTAGGAGCTATCTTTTTAGAGATTGCAAAAAACTAAATAAGTAAGTATAGGACATGGATCGGTGAGGCATGGCCGATACCCGATCCGACAAATAGGCTGGATCGGCGCCAATACCGATCCGATCTCTAATATTTCTGAACAGATGTTTAAGATTGTATGTGGTGTTTAAATCATAATTTTTAAAAGAATAATAATAAGTTGAAAAAATATTTTTTATCAGTAATTTTTTTTTTATCAATTACTAGACATTTCAGGGGACCCCATTTGAATTCCAGGCTACCCCAAGGTTAAAAAACATTGTGGTAGACGCTCAATTTTATGTGCCAGTATGCAGTGCTTAATGAGGTGCCAGAGTGCATGAACACCATGATGATGTCATACACAGAACTTAGTCTTTAACAATGATAATGCCCTATTAATTACTTAAACATGTAACAATGCAGCATTTTCTATTGAAACCTGTTTACATCAAACTTTTTTTTTTTGGTCCTTCTCATTAGCATGAGCATCCACAAACAATACTCCTCTCTGCGTTGTCCTCTGCTTGTTCTTCTGCCTGGGTTTCTGGTTCATTTCTGCCCTGCTTGGGTTCCCATTGGCTTTGTTGCTTTGCCAAAAACAATTCAAAATATTACTCTTTCTTTTCAGCATTTCTTTTAATTATTTCGCTGTAACAACCTGGTGTGAAACATCAGCTATTTTGCAAATACATTTGTTTTTTGCTATGTTTGCTAGGGTTGCTTTATAAGCTGTGGTTGCAGGTTATCTTACTATATGTTCTAGTGAAATACAATTATTATTCTTAATAAAGCTAAGATTTGGTATTATAAAAACTTTTTTCTAAAAATAGTTGTCAAAAAGTGCGTGTGTGGGGGGGGGGGAGGGTCGTCATATAATTGGGGTTGTCTTTTATACTGGGTAATACAGTATATTGTGTGTATCATTTGAGGTGGTGGAGTGCAGACTGCTCTGAGCCAGAGATCCTGGAGCTGAGCTCCAGCACAAATACGCACTGCCAGTATGGAATTTGCAGTTGTATTTGTGACTATTCATGGCAATTAAACATAAAACTTTACCCCTGTTTTCATTATAATGAAGAAATAGCTCTACTGGGCGAATATGGCCCAGGTCCATATTAGATGGATGAGACACATCTTAATGTTTGATACTTGTTGCCATGACAGCAACTATAATGTTTACTTACCTCAACAGGGTCCCCTGAAGCTCACCCACAAATTTGAGATGAAGTCTGACATCTGTACAGAGAGACCCTTGAATCTCCACCGTCCTGCTGCTGATTGTGAGCCCCCCCTCCCTGGGAAGAAAAGCCCTATTCTCCAAATGACCCACCTGAGCTCTTTGACTCCAGCACCCTCCTCGTCCAGTTCGGAGATGCCTGACTTTAAAAGTGAAGTGACCAATATAAAACCACAGTTGAGCCATGAGAATGACAGGGACAAGGAGAAAGCTGTGTTAAATGGAGGAACTCCCACCGTCACTGAAAAACTGGCCCAGCTCATTGCCACTTGCCCACCCTCCAAGTCCAGTAAGGCTAAGGTTTGTAAAATCACTTCCTCCACTGCTCTCATTGCAAACACAGCTGTTAACAGTCTGACATCTGGCACACAATGGCTAGATCCTTCTGCACTAATCAAAGCAGGAAAGTCTTCCCCTGTGAGTAACTCCCAACAGTCCCACTTGCCACCTCCTGTCTTGCACTCTCCTGGCCGCCTATCCCGTCACAAGGACAGCATTTTGGAAAAGTTTTCGGGAACATCTCGGAAAATGGAAGCCAATGGAGTTGGAAGGGTGGGAAGTGACGATAGTGGTTCTACAGGTGTTAATGGTGACAGCACTGTTATGGCTGTAAAAACCAGCCAGAGCAGCAGTAGCAACAGCAATAAGTCACAGGGACACACCCCTGTCCCGTCATTGTTATCATTCTCATTAGATCGGAGAGGAGAAGGTGCAGCAGAATATCGGCAAGGGAGTACTCCTATATTCAGCACCATTTCCCGAGGTGGTCCCTTGCAGGCAACTGAAAGTCATGCAAGAACAGATGAAGAGGACAGGTATGGATCCAAAGAGTATCAGCTACAACTCTTGAGCAAACGCTCCTCTTCTTTGGGAGCTCAGAAAAATGACTCTAGCACCATTGGGGAGATATTAGCTCCTGGACATGAAAACAGAAAGAATGCAGCTCCTGTCAAACCTAGAAGTCCAAACAGGGACAAAAACACTAGTGGAGCAACCATTTCTGAATCCACAAGACCCATGGCCTTTCCTATGAACTCTTCTGCTACAAGCAGCCCATCCCTGTGTTCAGAGGGTACCCTCAGTGTGTTTCCTGGCTCCCCCGCAGAGCATGATTGCAAACCCCTGAAGAAGCGAAAAGGCAGGCGTCCACGCTGGACTCGGGTTGTGAATCGCACCCACAGGTTGGCACAGACTAGTGTTGCTGATCAAGACCCACCATGTTTGCATACATCCACATCCCTTTCCCAACCGCTGCATAAACCCAGGCCAGTCGGTCGGCCCCCTAATCCAAACCGAACTTCCACTTCTATTTCCCAGCTCTTTACTGGTCCACCCAGAAAGAGAGGACGACCAAGGTCAAAAATGCCTAGACTGGATATTCCTCGCCCTGGTCACACACTTAAAATGCCCTCTTCTAAAGTATACTCTCTGCTGAAGTCCAAGGAGGAGCAGGATCCTCCCATTTTGCATCCAGAGGTGGACCTGAATCCTCCAAAAGTGATGCCCAGAAAACGTGGGCGGCCAAAGCGCTTGCCTCCAACCCTGCCACAAGAGGCTCAGCCCCCAACTCTGGATCCTGAGGAGAGAGGAGGAATGGGGCGGGGGATGGAACCAGAGAGTTCCCTATGCAGGAGGAGCAGTGGGCAGCATATAATGAGAACAATCATTGGCAAAATTAATAAGATGAGGTCCATGAAACGAAAGCGCCTCCTCAAACAGATTCTACTGGGTCCCGGGGCTGAATCAGAGGAGGAATCCACTACTGTGTCCCCTGGAGGGGTCATTGGATCTGTAACGGCAGCCACACACTCCTTATCATCCCTGGCAGCTTCTTTTGGGGGGAGATTAGGTTCCCAAATTAATGTTAGCAAGAAGGGGACAATATACATGGGAAAAAGGAGAGGACGCAAGCCAAAAGTAATAACTAACACCTCTGTTAGTGCCCCTTCTCTCCCTGCTGAACCTCTACTGCCCACAACTTCTGCTTTGCCTTTGCAGCACCATCAATTGAAGTCTCAACAACCTCAACAACAAATGCCATCCTCTGACATGTTTCCCTCACCATCTCTCTCACAATCCAGTGGAGGGCAAAGTCCCAATAGTGACATCGGCTTTGTGGGCTCAGGTACAGTTCACCTCTCATCACACACATCTTGTAGCTATGTTCGCCATTCCCTCTCCCAATTGCCCTCATCTTCAACCTCTTCCAGTCGGCTCCTATCAAGCTTGGGTTCCTCCAGTACCTCTCTAAAAAAGCCCATGTGTCGGGGATATTACCATCATGATTACCGGCAACAGCACCTTTATCGCAAGCTCTCTCCCACCCCACCCCTTCTACCTGCGTCTCCAGCACACCTGAGTGAGCTAAAGGAAGCAACACCTTCACCTGTCAGTGAGTCCCACAGTGATGAGACTGTACCCAGCGATAGTGGCATAGGAACAGACAACAACAGCACTTCTGACCGGGGAGAGAAAGGGGGAGGAGTTGGTAGACTGGGAAGCATAAGCATATCCCAGGGAATGTCAGGAGGGCTTGTCATGCCTGAGGCAATAGGGTCATTGGTTGGGATGGTGGCTGAAGGAAATCCCAGAGAAAGACGCAAACATTGTTCTTCAGTGTTGCTGGACCGTCCATCAGCTGCTTTCTCCTCCTTAAGCCATGGGGATTCTCCAGACATCTGTCGGACTCACTTGACCCCACCTTCCTCAGCATTGACCCTTGGTCATAAAGAGAAACACAGGCACAAGTGCAAGCGACGGGCCCATAGCTGCCAGGGGCATGACAAACTGAAAAGACAGAAACGCAAACGCAAGAAGAAATACCTGCAGCTTAGGTCTTGCAGACAAGATCCAGATTTCTTGGCTGAACTCGAGGACATAGTTGTGAGACTGAGTGAGATTCGGATAGTTCACCGCAGCACATCTGTAGGGCTAAAGAATGGATCAGATATAGGAACAGGCATAGGAGGTCATGGAGGAGGAAGTGGCAGCAAAGGTCTTCCATCTCATCACTATGTACATAGAGATCTTCTCCCGACCATCTTCAGAATAAACTTCAGTGGATTCTACTCTCCACACCCTGCTTACCCATGTGACACTCTGCACTATGTCCGTAAGCCTGACCTCAAGAAGAAGCGAGGTCGTCCACCAAAACTGCGTCAAGCTATGGCTGAGGTACCATTTGTTCATGGGATGGGGTTCCCTCTCTCTGGGGCTGGGTTCTATCACCCCTCCTATAGTGTTCCCTATTCCTCATCCTCTTTAGGATTGGGTTATTACAGAGGGTACTCTCCAGCAGCAGCTCTCTATCCACATCCACACGCTTCTCCACACCAAGCCCACCACTCTGCATCATTCCCTCCCCCGCCTCCATCTCCATATATACACCACCACCCATCACACCTCCTGCTGAATCAAACTAAATTTCACAAGAAGAAACACAAGCTCCTGCGACAGGAGTTTTTGGGAGGGGGCCGGTCCCCCATGTTGTACTCTTCTGTGCCCCCAGAACTTTCCTGTGGCTGGCTTCATAAACATAAGCGGAGACATAAGCATCGGGATTGGCGTGGTGAAGATGGCATGGTAGACATAGGAGATGGAGCCACCGGAAGCACGGGGAGGCATAGTACGAGTGCTAGGGAATTTGCACAGTCTCGCCAGTGCTACCAGTATGGCAAGGATTCCACTGCTTCTGCCAGCAATGATAGTTTAGCAACTGCACCCTTAGTTAATTCCCCTTCCTCCTCCTCCTCCTCATCATCAGCAGCAGAAAGATATAAGCATAAGGAAAGTCCTCTTTCCTGCCTGAGCTCCTCTTGTTTATCCTCTGGAGGGAGAAGTAGGGGCCACTATCACCAGGAGCTTTGGCAGAGGAATGGTGGCTCTGATGTTGATTGCACTAACTTGTCTAGGAGCTCCAGGTTCAACCAAGAATCTTTCCCAGGGGGACAGCCATTGAATCTCACTGGTGACTCCGACAGTGAGGAAGAGGAGCCCTTGGTTCGACCAAAATCTCTGCAGGCGTGCACTCCTGCACAGCATACAAACTTGTTCTCTGCCCTGAGTCGCAATGCTCTGAGTGGGGGAGATGGCAAGAGTGGAGCAGGGAGCACACTAACCTTTTCTGGACTGCACAGGGTGCTCAGGAAAGACCGACACTTATCGACTGAGAGGCGAGACACAGGTAAAGATGTGGCTTATGTACATTTGATTTGCAATGTTTTGGAGTGTTTGTAGTATTAGGGATATCTACAAAGTTTATTTTTATGTATTACACATAGCAGTATAGTCTTTTAATTAACTTTTAATTGCTAGAACTAAATGTCCCGTAACTGGCATTTTTACCACTGAACAGTGAATAAGAAACACTTTGCACAGTGTTTTTATGGCCTTTTAGTAAAGCCTAAAATGTATGTAGGTACAACCCACAAAAACAACAAACAAGGTCACAGCTAATCATTTATCATGGATTGTTCTATCTGTTTGTTCTTTTGTTCTTATTGAAAATCAAATGCAAGTAAATATTATAACTTAACAGGCTTTAATGATGTAATACCTGGATTGGTATAATATTAAAAATTATGCAATATCTATGGTGGTACAGAAGTGAGACTTGCCTTCAGATGCACTCCAGTTCAGGGGCTCTGTACTTTTATAGTGCTGTGTGATGTAAAGCTGCCCTTTGGTAGCCAAGTGTGAAGCTTGTGAATGTCTGCTGCTCAGAGATGGCGGCATGTAGAGGAAAGACAGCTAAGGACTGGTTCATACTTCATGCGGACGTGCAACGGTGTGCATGGCTGTGGTGACATCATTTTTGCTACAGGGGCTGGCATGGAGACCACATAGGGTGGCTGCACTCTAGGGTGCGTACCACTAGAAAATTGAAACAATGTGTATGGTCCATTCAGTGATTCAGTGAGCCTAGGTCATTCATTGGCCAGTGGGAAAGTAGCAGATAGTTATGGAGGGCTGAGTGCCAAAATTAAATAAATAAATACACCAATAATTAATTAATTAATTAAATGTGCCATGAATTGTTTAAAATGGGAAATATAAAGATAAATTATTATTTAAATGTGTCATGAATTATTTAAAATGGGAAATAAAAATATCGTTAATTAAATGTGCCATGAATTATTATCTACCATTAGAAATAAAATCAT